TACATTAAATGAAAATGCTTGAAACAGAAAACATGGTAACAGAGATAAAGTAGTTTAAAGCAGTGGTGTACAACCAGGGGCAATTCTGCCTTTCAGGAGACATTTGGCAATGTCTGGAGATGTTTTTGGTTGTCACCACTGGAGGAGTGCTGCTACCTCTAGTGGGTGGAGGCCAGGGATGCTGCCGAACATCCTACAATGCACAGGTGAGTCCCATATGACAAAGAATTATCCTGCTCAAAATGTCAGTATTGCCCAAACTACTTTAGCCTGACTGATTAAAAAAAAGAGAGAAGACACAAATTACCAACGTCTGCAATGATAAAGGGGATAATGCTACAGGTCTCAGGACATTAAACAGATAGAATAATATCACAAATTATTGTATGCCCATAAAGTCAACTTAGTCACCAAAGTCTTGTAAGGAAATGGACAAATTCCTTATGAGATGGGTAATACCAAAGCTCATGTAAGTGCATAACCTAAGTAGTTCTATGTCTATTAAAGATGTTGAATTGTGTAGTTAAAAATCTTGTAACAAAACTACAGGCCCAAGTGGCTTCGCTACCAAAAGCCAGAGATCAGGACAAGACCAAGCCTTTCTCAGTGCCAGGAGGAATGCTTAAGCTTCAACTACCAGTTCCCACCTCTGTCATGCTTCCAGGGATTCCCAAATATTTTGCATTCTGTGGTGTGTACACCTCAATCCTATCTCAGAGTGCTGACCTGATCATGGTTGAAAGGTGCTGTTGCACATAAGATTTACCTTTGCAAGTTGGGTGAAAGAGAAGCCTCAGAAAGGCAGTAATTTGAGCCAATGGTAGACATTCTTTCCCAACTTAACTTGCCAAGGCTTTTTCGCTTAAACCTTTCTTAATTTCTTAAGAAATTACATGGCTGTATGATGATAGATCCTCCCACCCTGATGGGGCAATCTCATTTCAGTCACCTGCAGGTATCTACTGGGGTGGAGATCCAGCTTCTAAGGCTTTGTCAAATACTGTGGCTCCTGAGGCAAAGCAGTTCAGCAGCATAGCTGAGACTGAGCCTCATGATGGGATGGTAATATGGTTTGGCTGTGTCCTCACCCAAATCTCATCTTGAATTGTAACTCCCACAATTCCCATGTGTCATGGGAGGAACCTGGTGGGAGGTAATTGAATCATGAGGGCGGGTCTTTCCTGTGCTGTTCTTGTGATAGTGGATAAGTCTCATGAGCTCTGATGGCTTTAAAAATGGGAGTTTCCCTGCACAAGTTGTTTGCCCTTTTGTCACCCACGTAAGATGTTGCTCCTCCTTGCCTTCTGCCATGATTGTGAGGCCTCCCCAGCCATGTGGAACCGTAAGCCCAATAAACCTCTTTATTTTGTAAATTGCCCAGTCTAGGGTATGTCTTTATCAGCGGCGTGGAAGACTAATACAGACGGGTAAGCAGTGAACAGGCAAAACACACTCGTGGGTGAGGTAGCTCACAAACAGCCATATCTTTCCAGAGGAAGACATAAACCACGTGTGTGGATCCATTTTGCGTTGCTGTAAAGGAATACCTGAGGCTGGGCAATTCATAACGAGTTTTATTTGGCTTACGGTTTTGCAGGCGGTACAAGCATGGCACCAGCATCTGCTGGCTTCTGATGCTTTAACTCTCGGTAGAAGGCGGAGGAGGAGCAGGCATGTTGCATGGCGAGAGAGGGAGCAAGAGAGAGACACCAGGTTCTTTTGAACAACCAGCACTCATGTGAACTAACAGCAAGAACTCTTTTCCTGTTATTTTCCATGGAACTAGAGGCTCTAGGAGGACTGGGTTAGGACCTCATCCAGTAGAGCTAACTGATGTAGAGCTAACATCTTCCTGCATCACACTGCTTTTGAGAGCCATTCAAAACACTAAAGGTTAAGATACGGGAGTCCACCCATTTTATATTCCATAACTAATGGAGACTGCTCAAGTGAAAGTTTAAATTTAGAGATCATTTTCTGTCCCTATCTATGCTTCAGACTAGAGCTTCGGCAATTTCTTCACTAAAGCTAATTACTTTTTAAAGTGGTGTGACTGACAAAAAGAAGTAAGGCCAAGGATGCTGCAATGCCAGAGTTTGTAACAATATAATTTGGAGTGAAAGTTGGTGATGTGACCACCCTCCTTGATGACGTCTTTCTTCCCTTCTCTATAATTTCTTTACAGTTTACTTATGCAAAACTAGACAAACAGCCAAAACAGTAGAGATAGGTCTGCCAACAACTGAATTGGTCTAATGCAACAGCTGGGGGAAGTTTGAGCCTTTCTCTTAAAAGTGACTACAATTCTGCAGTCCTAGACCATCTGTAGTTAGGCTGTGGTTCTTTAACTGCCAAGGCCTTTGAGTTAAGCTGGGTTAGTAAGGTTGTTTGATATGGATCACATAGGATAAGAGTAGGTAGTGGTATTTTCTGGGAGATAATAAGGGTCAATGTGAGGTTTTTTTGGGGGCCGGGAAGGCAGTTTTTCTGAACATTATAAGAAGTTTCCAATATCTTAAAACTTTTATAATAGTGTTTTCCCAAAGAAATATTATGTGAGTCCCATATACTTACAATTTAAAATTTTCTAGGAGTCATGTTTAAAAATAAATAGGGACAGGTGAAATTAATTTGAATATATTTTATTTAATCTGACTTATTTAAAGTATCATTTAAGCATGTAATTAATATAAAGATGGATAAAATATTGTAAATTAAAAATGAGACTTTAGGCTGGGTGCAGTGGCTCACACCTGTAATACTAACATTTTGGGAGGCGGAAGGATTGCTTCAGCTCAGGAGTTTGAGACCAGCCCGAGTATGTTTCTCATAGTGAGATCTCATCTCTACACAAAAATTAAAACCTAGCTGGGCATGGTGGTGCATGCCTGTGATCAGGAGGCTGAGGCAAGAGGATGCTTGAGCCCAGGAGGTTGAGGTTGTAATGAATCATGATTAAGTCAATGCACTCCAGCTTGGGCAACAGAACAACATTCTTTCTCAAAAAAAAAAAAAAAAAAAAAAAAAAGGGGTCGGGTCCCCTGGCTCACACCTGTAATTCCAGCGTTTTGGGGGGCCAAGGCAGGTGAATCACCTGAGGTCAGGAGTTCGAGACCAGCCTGGCCAACATGGTGAAACCCCATCTCTACTAAAAATACAAAATAATTAGCCGGTGTGGTGGCACATGCCTGTAGTCCCAGCTACTTGGGAGGCTGAGGCAGGAGGATCACTTGAACCCAGGAGGCAAGAGGTTGCAGTGAGCCGAGGTCGGGCCACTGCACTCCAGTCTGGGCAACAGAGTAAGACTCTGTCTCCAAAAAAGAAAAAGAAAAATTGGCTGGGTGTGGTGGCTCATGCCTGCAATCCCAGCACTTTGGGAGGCTGAGGCGGGCGGATCACCTGAGGTCAGGAATTCGAGACCAGCCTGGCCAACCATGGCCAACATGGTGAAACCCCGTCTTTACTAAAAATACAAAAATTGGCCTGGTGTGGTGGTGGGCACCTGTAATTCCAGCTACTCGGGAGGCTGAGACGGGAGAATCACTTGAACCCAGGAGGCAGAGGTTGCAGTGAGCCAAGACTGCGTCACTGCATTCCAGCGACAGAGGGATACTCCGTCTCAAAAAAAAAAAAAAAAAAAGGGAAAACAAAAGAATTTAAAAGCTGGTATGCGTTTTACGTTTGTAGCACATCTCTTTTCAGACCAGCCACATTTCAAGTGCTGAACAGCTACATGTGGTTCAATGAGTTTTGGTACTGGACAGCTCAGCTTTACAACCTCTCAGGTTTTCTCTAAGCAGTCTCTCAGGTTCCGAAATTGAGAAGGGGTGGAGGGTGGGCATTGGATCACAAAGGCTTTACGATTCCAACAACTCCTAGCTAGTTAACAGAATCATGCCACCTGTCTCTTGATGTCCTAGTGACTATTGACACGTCTACAGAAGAATCTCTTTTAACTGTATTTTTATAGTTGTATGGCAGCCTTTGAGAAAATGAGAAATAAGGCCAGGCCCAGTGCAAAATGAAAATGTGTGTGGGGGGCAGGGAGGGGAGACGGGTGCTGGTTTAAAAATTAAGAATTTCAAGATTGCCATAGCAGAGCACGAAAATAAGTACAGGGCCCTTCTAAGCCCTATGTGACTGCACGGGTCAGACCCCTTTGAAGCTGGTGGTGGTCAGGGTTTACGTCTCTGGATGAATCCAGATGTGTAAAAGGCAAGGAAATGGCGAGATTCCTTGGGCTATCCTCGAGAATCTGGGAACCTTAAAGGAGACTTCAAAATCTTACCTACTGGAATTAATGGAGGGAGAGAAAGTGTGTGCGGCTGTGAGAACGCCTTAGAAACGGACAGTGAGCAGATGAGGCAGGTAGGTAAGACACCTGGTTTTGCCGATTAAACTACTGATAAATCAGTGCCACGCACATTCTGGGTAATTCTAGGGACACTGGTTGGACAACACTGACATCGGAAAAGGTGGCAGGCCGGAACATGGATCCCTGTAAGGCTACTTTATTGTCGGTTTCCCCTTCTCCAAGCTAGAAACAGGCGGTGCCTGAGTGGCCTGCAGAAGCCAGTACTGTAGGCCAGGCGCGGTGGCTCACGCCTGTAATCCTAGCACTTTGGGAGGCCGAGGTGGGCGGATCACCTGAGGTCGGGAGTTCAAGACCAGTCTAACCAATATGGTGAAACTCGTCTTTACTAAAAATACAAAATTCGCCGGGTGTGGTGACGCGCGCCTGTAACCCGAGCTACTCGGGAGGCTGAGGCGGGAGAATCGCTTGAATCCCGGAGGCGGAAGTTGCAGTGAGCCGAGATCACACCACTGCACTCCAGTCTGGGCGAAAGAGGGAGGCCCTGTCTCAAAAAAACAAAAAAAAAAGCTACTACTGTTGGAGTCGGCTTGAGCTGTGGCATTGTTTCCAGCCCGTGACCCTCACGCCGCCCTGTTCGCTGGGCGGACTGGGCCCAGGCGGCCGGTGAGGACGGACTTTTACTTACCGGCGCCTTGGCCACTGCTTCTTTCCCGCTCTCGGACGCGAATGCCGATCTGCAGGGGCCTGGGGCGCGGGCGGAAAAGGCGGGCCCAACTCGAACCCGGTCCGTCGTCCTGACGCCCCCTAGCGGCAGCCACCTCGTCGCAGGGGCCTTGCGGGTCTCTGAGTCTCCGAGACGCCTCTCCCCTAACTGGCGTTCGCAGGCGGTTGCCTCGCTGGGCGCAGTCCAACCGCCGCGCGCGGATACTAGGAGGGCGGTTTCCCTGGTGACAGGCCCCGCCCTGGCCCCGCCCCAGCCCGGGCGGTCCCGCCCCTCTGAGCTGTGGCCCGGGGGCCGTGGGTCCGACTCCGGCGTGTGATGTCACCAAGTTGGCTTTGGGGTCCCCCATTCTTCCTTAGTTCTCTATTTTACCTCAGCTCGTTGTGTAGCTGCTGCCTGGCCACGGCACTTAGCACACAGCGTGACTTAATACCGGATAAACGAGGAAAGGATTCGTACGCCCTGGCGGGGCCAGAGGCTGACTGCTCGGGTTCCCGCGGGCACACGAGCCAGGAACCGCCTAGGCCTCCAGGGGGCGCTCTCCCTCCCATCGCGCCACCGCCAGTCCATTGGAAACCAGGAGGACCACTCAGCTCCATCCCTGCCTCTCATCTGGTAATGTCTCATCTCCCTACCTGGAATCAATATTACCACTCCCATACCACAGATTTTTTAAATGCAACTAAATTTTAAATGAGTCACTTTATTTAAAAACAACATGAACAAAATGGGATTTCTACTAATGCAAATATCTATACAAATTTAATGATTTTGGTGCTAATTAGATGAAAAGTCAACTCTCCTGTTACATATTAGAAATTTACCTCTTGTTACCTTTGCTGTAACTGCAATGGCAGTTTCAACTGTTTCTACCAAATATATAGTTGGAAATACTCTGATTAGAAGTGTATCTTCCCAGCACTTTGGGAGGCCAGGATGGGCGGTTTACTTCAGGTCAGGAGTTCGAGACCAGCCTGGCCAGCGTGATGAAACCCTGTCTCTACAAAGATACAAAAATTAGCCGGGTGTGGTGGCGGGTGCCTGTAATCCCAGCTGCTTGGGAGGCTGAGGCACGAGAATTGCTTGAACCCTGGAGGCAGAGGTTGCAGTGAGCTGGGATCATGCCCCTGTACTCTAGCCTGGCCAACAGAGTGAGACTCCGTCTCAAAAAAAAAAAAAAATGGATATGACAGTTCAAATTAGATCTAAAACCTTTCCTAATTACACCAGTTAAATCATGAAATCACACAATAGTAGAACAGGTGTCTTACCTACCTGCATTATCCTGTAACTATTGACATGTTATTTTACATAATCATAAACTGATCACACATATCTTTAAATCTAATCATCGTAACTTCAAAAACTGTATTTGAAGAAAATCAGTATATTTCTAAATCTGTCTTTAACTGATGCAGAGATGTAAATTTGAAATGTCTTGGTAAATTAGGTTAACACAATATAAATATTTTGACAAATGCATCATAATTGGTTCATTTTAAGGAGATTGATTTTATTTTCTTGAAGCTTAAGGAGGGCTTTGACATTTTAAATATATCTAAAAGATAAGGCAATTTCCCATTTTTTAAAATTGATGAAACAAAGCATTCCATAGTCATTTCAAATAGTGTACAAAGTATTTTAAAATGTTTTTCTGGCTGGGCACAGTGGCTCACGCCTGTAATCCCAGCACTTTGGGAGGCCGAGGCGGGCAGATCATGAGGTCAGGAGATCGAGACTATCCCGGCCAACGTAGTGAAACCCCGTTTCTACTAAAAATACAAAAATTAGTCAAATGTGGTGGCACGCGCCTGTAGTCCCAGGTACTCGGGAGGCTGAGGCAGGAAAATCATTTGTACCCGGGAGGCGGAGGTTGCAGTGAGTGGAGATCACGCCACTGTACTCCAGGCTAGTGACAGAGTGAGACTCTCTCAAAAAAACAAAAACAAAAAAAACCTTTTTTCTTCAAAGAGCTGATTTCCATATGCAGGGTAAGACGTTCAAACTCTTATTTGTTGTTAATGTAAGATTTAAAAATACTCAGGAGATTCTTTATAGTTTTTTTGTTTGTTTTTCTTTGAGAAGGAGTCTCTGTCGCCCAGGCTGGAGTGCAGTGGTGCGATCTCACTGCAACCTCCGCCTCCCAGGTTCAAGTAATTCTCATGCCTTAGCTTCCCAAGTAGTTGGGAATACAGGTGCATGCCAACATGCCTGGCTAATTTTTGTATTTTTAGTAGATAAGGGGTTTCACCACATTGGCCAGGTTGCTCTCAAACTCCCGACCTTTGGTGATCCACTTGCCTCGGCCTCCCAAAGTGTTGGGATTATGGGGTGAGCCACCATGCCAGTCCTGCTTTTAATTTTGTGAATGGACTTGACAACATTTCATTGTTCACTGATTAAATTCATTTTTGTGATGTTTTAAGCTTGGTGACTTAGCATTGATGAACAATGCAACCAGTTGCCAAAAGCCTGATACTATACTATGCAACTACAGCTGATGCTCAAATAATGACATTGGGATATTATTTTAAAATTTATCATCATGAAATAATGTGTGTGTAAAATCTTAACACCCCATTGTATTCCTTGTCAGTAATTTTGAGGACAACAACAACAAAAAAACCTCCTTCTCTATCACCGTTTTTGTCTATTTGCGTTGCTATAAAGGAACAGTTGAGGCTGGATAATTTATAAAGATTTATTTGGCTTATGTTCCGCAGGCTATATAAGAAGCATGGCGCCCACATCTGCATCTGGTGAGGGCCTCAAACTGCTTCCACTCATGGTAAAGAGCAGCTTGTGCAGAGATCACGTGGCAAAAGAGGAGGCAAGAGAGAGTGGAGAGGGAGGCTCTTTTTAAATACCAGCTCTCAAGGTGTATTAGTCCATTTTTACACTGATGATAAAGATATACCAGAGACTGGATAATTTGTAAGGGAAAGCAGTTTAATCAACTCACAGTTCTGCATGGCTAGGGAGGCCTCAGGAAACTTATAATCATGGCAGAAGAGGGAGCAAGCATGTCCTTCTTCACATGGTGGCAGCAAGGAGAAGTGCTGAGCAAAAGGGGGAAAAGCCCCATATAAAACCATCAGACCTCATGAGAACTCACTCACTATAACAAGAACAGCATTAGGGTAACTGCCCCATGATTAAATTACCTCCCACTGGGTCCCTCCCACAACATGTGGGGATTATGAGAAACACAATTCAAGATGAGATTTGAGTTGGGGCACAGCCAAGCCATATCGTGAAAGAACTAAGAGTGAGAAGTCACCATCCTCCACAGAGGGCATTAATGTATTCACGAGGGATCCACCTTAAACCTCAGGACCCAAACATTTCCTATTAGGCCCCACCTCCAACATTAGGGATCAAATTTCAATATGAGGTTTGGGGGACAAATGTCCAAAGTATAGCAATCAGCCTTTTCAACTTACACTTTTCATTTCAAGATAATTGCAGATTTACCTGCAGTTCTAAGAAGTAGTATAGGGGCTGAGTGTGGTGGTTTATGCTTATAATCCCAGTGTTTTGGGAGGCCAAGGTGGGAGGATCACTTGAGCCCAGGAGTTTAAGACCAGTCTGGGTAATACAGCAAGACCCTGTGTCCACAAAAAATTAAAAGTTAACTGGGCATGGTGGTGTGCACCTGTAATCCAGCTACTTGGGAGGCTGAGGCGGGAGGATGACTTGAGTCCAGGAATTCGAGGCAGCAGTGAGCTATGATCACATCACTGCACTCCAACTTGGTTGGCAGAGTGAGACCCTGTCTCTAAAAAAAGAAAGAAAGAAAAATGGTTCAGAGATTCTCTGTGCCCTTTGCCCAGTTTCTCCAAAAGGTAAAACCTTGCAAAACTCTACAATAATATTACTACCAGGATACTGGCATTGTTACAGTCAAGATACAGAACACTTCCATCACCATAGGAATCCCTCATGGTGCTCTTTAATAGGCTCACCAACTTTCCACCTGCTTCCACCCCTCCTATATGCCATTAGTTCTCCATTTTTAGAAACTTGTCCTTTCAAGATTGCAATATAAAGGAGAACTATAGCATGTAACCTTTTGGGATTGGCATTTTTTTTTTTTTTTTTTTTTGCTTAGCATAATTCTCTGGAGATTCATCCAGTTTATTGCCTGTATCAGTACTTTGTGTCTTTTTATTGCTGAGTAATATTCCATAATAGCCACAGTGTGTTTAACCATTATCAGTTGAAGGACATCTGGGCTAATTATGAATCAAGTTGCTATAAAATTTGTGTCTAGGTTTTTGTGTGAACATGAGTCTTTATTTCTTTGAGACAAATGCCCAGAAGTGCAATTCCTAAGCCATATGGTAGTTGCATGCTTAATTTTTAGAATCTGACAACCTGTTTTCCTGAGTAGCCATATCATTTTTTTTCCCACTAGTAAAATAATAGTGATTCTTTGCATCCTCACCAGAATTTGATGTTGTCACTTCTTTGTTTTAGTAACCTTGCTAGGTATATATCAATATCTCATTGTAGTTTTAATTTGCATTTCCCTAATGGCAAATTAGATAAAAAGATGATATAGAACATCTTTTTTCATTTGCCAATTTACAATCTTGTGTATCCTCTTCAGTAAAATCTCTTTTCATTACCATGTTTGTTTCTTTTTACTACTGAATTTTGAGAGCTCTTTATATATTCAAAATGCTAGGCCTTTCTCAGATACATGTTTTACCAATATTTTCTCCCATTCTGTAGCTTCTCTTTTCATTCTCTTAACAGAGTCTGTCACAGAGCAAAAGTTTTTAACAGGTGAAGTTACATTTATCAAATCTTCTCTTACGAGTAATGTTTTTAGTGTTAAGACTCTTTGCCTAGCCCTAGATCTTAAAGATTTTCTCTTATTTTTTTTCTAAAAGTATTATAGTTTGACATTTTACATTTAAGTCTGTGATCCATTTTTAATTAATTTGTGTATAAGGTATGAGTTCTTTTCTGCCTGCTGTATTAGTCCATTCTCACACTGCTATAAAGATACTACCTGAGACTGGGTAATTTATAAAGAAAGGAGGTTTAACTGACTCACAGCTCCTCATGGCTGAGGAGGCCTCAGGAAAGTTACAATCATAGCAGAGGGCAAAGGGGAAGCAAGTACCTTCTTCACAAGGTGTAGACAGGCGACAGAGAGAGAAATTGCCAGACTTATCAAACAAGCAGATCTCACGTGAAAACACTCATATCACGAGAACAGCACTGGAGAAACCACCCCCATGAGAAATCACTCACTATCATGAGAACAGCATAGAGGAAACTCCCGCCATGATCCAATCACCTCCCACCAGGTCCCTCCCTCAACATGTGGGGATTACAATTTAAGATGAGATTTGGGTAGGGACACG